CCTCCAATCATCTTTTGCCCTTTCAAAACCCCTGGACTAGGTCACTGCCAGCCAGCCCGTCACACATGCTTGTGTGTGCACACAGGTGTAGGGGCATGTGCACATAGGTGCACACAGTTTGTGTGTGTGTGCACTCAGCTTTGTGTGTGTGCGCATGCACATAGATGTATACATGTGTGCACATAGGTGCGTGTATACATCCTTGTGCATACATGTACACGAGTATATACATGCTTGTGAGTGCATGTGCGCATAGGTGTGTACACGCCTGTGTGTGTGCATTTCACCACTGCTACAGTAGGTTTTTATGTGCATGGGTGCATGTAGGTGTATACATGCTTGTGTGTGCATATACACAGGTGTGCGCATAGGTGCATGCACACTTGGGTGTGTGCGTGCGGACACTGGTATATACACGCTGGTGTGTGTATGTGCATATAGATGTGTACACGCCTGTGTGTGTGCATTTCACCACTGCTATAGTAGGTTTTTATATGCATGGGTGCACATAGGTGCATACATGCTTGTGTGTGTGTGTGTACACAGGTGTGCACACGCCTCTGTGCATGTGCACATAGGTGCATACACACTTGGGTGCGTGCATATGGACACATCGGTGTGTGCATGCGCACATAGGAGTATACGTCGTTGTGTGTCTGTTTGTGCATGTAGGTGTGTACATGTGTGCAAGTACATCTAAGTTGCTGAGACTCCCAGGCTCCTTTCCCTGGTGGGCTGGAAACCAGGACCCTGCATAGGGGCATTTCCATTACAGCCTCATGCACACGGGACGTGGCCGTGCATCCAACAACACGCACGCAACGGCCACGTGCGCTGCACTGGCTGTGCGGCTGGCTATTTCTAGCTGTGCCCTCTGGATTTGCAGCTAGGGGCTCTTCAGAGACGACTGGAGGATTTGCCACTGGCACGTGAGCTGGCTACCGAGCCCGCTAAACCATGGGACAAGGTGAGAGACTGCTGCTGCCCGTCCCGGCTGCAGGCTCGAGGGTGGAGTCTCCAGGGCTCCCCTCTCCCTCTGCACTCCAGTCCCCTTCCCAGAGCCCTTCTCCTGGACCATCTTGCCAACCGGGCAGCACTGGATAAACCACGTGGAAGGACTGGGGATGGATGAGCTGTTCTGCAGGGCCGAGACACCAGCCTGATGCTTCAGCGCATCTCAGCCCCTGGCAGTCAGTGCCTGCAGCCAGGCATCAGGCTCTTCAGCTTCTCTGGTTCGGGTGTGATGCATCTGCCCCATGCAGTGCAGGCTTTACAGACCTGGGGCAACAGCTTTTGCCTGGCAGCTGCATGGCTGTTGTTTCTCCCCATACCCTGATGGCTGTGCACGGAGCTGTATAGGTGTGGTTTCCATGATCCAGCCCCGGAGCATGGAAGCAAGCCAGGATTAGCCTGGGGAAGTATGGAAAGGAGAGGCAAACTCCTTCACTGTTCTCCCAAGGGGCTTCGTGTGGCTCCGGGGG